CCAGTGTAAGGGGCCAGCCGGTGGGCTGCTGTTCCTGGCCCCTAAAACTGACAGCGTCTAAGCAGTGGCTATCTCTGCCTTTGGAAATGTGTTTTTTTTTTTTTTTTAGTTGAGCCTTCCTGCCACCTGTTCGCAGCTCAGCTGCAGCTCAACTTGGGCTGAGAATTGAACTGGCGACCCTGTTGCTCAGAGCTCAGTCTTCAGCGAGCTCTTAACTAACTGAGCCACTTGAGCGACTCTCTGCCTCCTGGGTTGGCCAACTGGCTCAGTTGGTTAAGAGCTCACTCAAGAGTGTGAGCTCTGAACAACAGGGTGACCGGTTCGATATACGGCCCAAGCTGAGCTGCCGCTGAGCTGCCAAAAGGTGGCAGGATGACTCAGCTAAAATATTTTAAAAAAAGAAATAAACTCCCAGCTGGGAAATCAAGCTGAGGGTGGGAGCCTGGGACGGCCTCCTGAGGCCCTAACCCAGGGGATGTAGCCTTCAGATCCTGGTAGGACCTTTTCAGGACCCCAAGTCCATATACAGGTATTACATGTTTCTTTCATACATTCATTTTAAGTGATACTTTGGAATATCTGAAATTAAATCCCAACAGGCTTTTGCCATCAGCCACCCAGCCTGACTGGAAAATTTACATGGGGGATAGTTAAGCACACAGATGCTGAGGCCAGGCAGCATGGATTCAAATCCGAATTCTGCCACTTACCAGATGAGTGATTTTGGACAAATTACCTAATCTCAGTTTCCTCAGCTGTAAATGGGCCTGATACAAGTTTCCCCTAGGGCCGCTGGGAGCATATATTTAGTTAATTCAACTAAGGCACTTAGAGCAGTGCCTGCCTACAGGAAGCACAGTCATTCCTGTACTTGCTGCCAGACTGTCATTTGGTCCCTGGACCTGTGTGGGGAGCCCTGTGCGGTTTGTCACTCAGGGCATTGGAAAGCTGGGGGCCAGGCAGCTGCACAGAACAGGGTGGGGTGGGGGCGAATTGGTGTGGGCTTCCTCCAGGCCTCCACGTCTGCTGTGACCCCTGAGCTCCTCTGAGGGTCAGCATCTTTGGCTGCCTCCCTGCCATCCTGTCTCCCAAAGAGCAGCCAGCCTGGGCTGGACACAGCCTCTCTTTAATGAAAGTCATGGGTTCTTTGACACAGGGGACTAGCTTGGACAGGGAGGCGTGGTCTGAGCCGCAGGTCAGGATGCTGTCCTCCCTCCTCCTCTGCCATGGTCCCAAGGCAGGACAGGTATGCTGGCCAGGGAGCTCAGAAGATGTCAGGGACAATATAGTCAGTGTGAACGCCATCGATCAGCCCGGCCCCGTTGTTGTGGACGAACCAGCAGGTCACCTCGGTCCCATGCCGGGGGTCATTGCTGTAGTCTCTTTGCAAGCCTCTGGGGAGAGACAAGGCAGCTGGGGTCACCTTTTGGACCCGGCAGTGCTTCCCAGGAAGCCCACTCCACCCCCGTGACACCTGGAGGAAGGGCTGGACATACCATGGGCAACACCAAGGACAGAGACGCTGGGAGAGCAGCCAACCCACCTGGTGACCGTCAGCTGCTGGTTCTTCACCACCATTGTGGCATCTGTCTTTGTGGGGTCTGAGCCTGGGTGCAGGTCGGACACTTTATAATCAAAAGGGTGAAAGAATTGTCCTGGAAAGACACATGGGAGGCGGCAGTTACCAAAAGGGATCTTGCTCATGCTTTGCACTGGAGGTTGAGAGTGTTGCTTAAACTAGTTTCTGTCGTTTTTTGTTTTAAGGGCTTGCCTGTTTCTGATAAATTTTGGCATCAAAGCCACTCCTTTAGTTCACCTGGATAGAGAAGCGGATACATTGTCAGGTGGTCATACCTCCTGTCTTTTGGTACCAATTCCAGAGGAATCTGGCTGAGGGAGAAGCTTGACGGGCAGGTGCCCATGGAGAGCAGGGTCTACAGCAAAGCCACAAGGAGAAGCAGTGTGGCTGATGACCTACCCCACCCAGGAGGTCTCTAGGAGCATGCTAGACCTTCGTGTTTGCGAACTGGGCCTCTCCCGTTTCACTCCCAGGCTTACCTACACTTTAGCTTCACTGTGTATTTGATCACAGCCTGTTTGAGGGACAAGACCCTCACCACACATGCTCTCTTTGGAGCGCTGAGCCTTGGAGGCCACGTTGGAGGTGGGCCTGTCCTGGAGCCCAGCTGCAGAGCTGACCAGTCCACTGGCTTCAACCCCCCATCCCACAGCTCTGCCTGCCTACTCAGCCGTACCCAGCAGCCCGTGTGTCCGTGCCGACATCCGGTGACTATCCAGCACGTAGAAGCCCAGGAAGTCCTGGTGGATGGCACTCCCCTTCCACACTCGGTGCAGGACGACCTCGAAGGTGCCCCCATCCTCCACGGACACCACCAGGTTCCGCTTCCTGTTGATGGTCACCACCACTCTGCAGGGCCATGTGGCCATGAGGACAGGTGTGGTTGCACCGCACCCTCTCCGTTCAGCCACCCTTGTCTCTGGGACCCAGTTCTTATGACCCACCCTACCCTCACCCCCAGATGGTTGGGTGTTACCTGTTCCATACCTCTTCCCACATGCTGCCATTGTATATGGGGCCCTTACAATGTGCTAGGCCCTATGCCAAGCCCTCCATGCAAACTGCATCATTCAATTATCACTCGAATCCTGTGAGGTTGAGGCTCAGAGCGGTTAAATAATTGGCCTAACACAGCTGTAAGCAGCACAGCCAGGCCTTTGCCTCCAGCCTGCGTAATATCAGAGCCTGTGTTCTTTGACTGCTGCTTATCACCTATGTCCTCCACACCACACTCTGCCGACCTCTTCCTACAGCTCTGCAGTCCAGCATTGGGCTCTGCTGCTCAGCAGAATTTGTTTAATGAATGAAGGAGTGAACGAAGGAATAAATGTAGGACAAGGCATACTAAGACAGGTGTTGAAAGAGAAACCCAGAGAAGTTCAGCGGAGGAAGAGACTAGGAAGACTTCACGGAAGAGGTGGCCTTTGTGTTGAGCCTGAGAAAATGAGCTGGCTTTGTTTGGTAGAGATGGGAGTGGACTGCAGGGTGAGGACGCCATGGGAGCATAGTCACCTAGGCAGCTGAGTCCAGAACACGTGTCCAGAAAGGGAAATGGGGGTAGGGATGGTCCACAGGGTCTACATGTCTGCACAGCCCACAGAAACCACATGAACGTCATTCATTGACACAGCTCAGGAGACGAGGGCCTGGCAGGCTCAGACAGCACAGCTGGCCTGGGGCTTCTATCTTGGCTCCCACCCTACCTACCCATGCCTCCCTGCCCAGGCCCAGTCCCAGCCCCGTTACTCGTCCTGCCGCAGGGAAGCCTGATCTCTCCAGGAGAACACGGTCCCGCCTGAGCCAGGGTTCAGCGTGATGTTCTGAGGAGTCACTTCCAGCTGAAAGCCCGTTGCAGGGTTTGCGATCCCCAGCCGCCCGAAGTACGTGGCCTCATGCTGCCCAGAGCTCCTGGCCTTGTTGCCAATGAGCTGACCATTCACTGAGAAACCTGCAGTGGGGTGAGGAGCCATCCAGGTCAGGGAGGGGCCAGCTCTTGCTAGACCCTCACCCAGCCTGCCTTAGCTCATACCCCCTTTCTGGGAGATCCCCACACCCTCCCCATGCTACACCATTTTTGAGGGTCTTACCTCCTGAGGGGAGCCCTTAGGACTGGTACAGCTACACACACACTACCTCCCTCTCCTCTCCCTTCCACACTAACTATCCAGTACTTAGCTCTCTGGTCTGGGCCCTGAAGGAGGCCTTGCAGGACTCAGCATGGCCCTTCTCTGTGGCCCCAGTCCCTGACACAGGGGCAAATCACAGTAGGTGCTGCAGACACATTTATGGGGCCTCCTCACAGAGGCCTCCTCTCACCGGAGCAGCCAAAAAGCCCCCTCACCCTCTTCACTATCCTTACACAGCAGGTCTCATGCTTTGAAATTGTCATCTAAGAATTTGTTCACATGTTGGTCTCCCTTCCCTAAACTCCATGAGAGCAGGGACTTTGTGTCAGTTCCCACTGAGACCCTGGCCCCTCGTGGGTGCTCAACAAACACTTGCAGATGGACTGACTGAACTGGGAGGATGGGAGAAGTGACTGAGAGATAGAGAGGGAGTCATTCCCATCACCTGAGCACTGCTGGGGAGATGGACTCCAAGGTTCCCTCAGCCATGCTGGGGGAAACGTCAGAGCAGGATGGCTACATACAGGAAATGAAAGGCTCCTTGTTTAAACATTGGTAAGAATTTCAAGACAGCAACAGGAGAGCATAAAAGCGAGCCTGGGCCCTTCTGAGTCTACTGTCTGCATGGGTCACCTGCCCATGCAACAGGCCCTGTATAGGGGCCAAGCAGGTAGATGGGGCGAGAAGGAGGCAAGTTGTCAGCCAGGTGACAGGTACACTAAGTGCAGGAAGTGGAGGCAACGGTCACTGTCCTGTCCACAGCTGAACATTCAGAGCAGAGGAGCCCAGGCCTTGCCCTGTCTGGCAGAGGGTGTGATGTCACCATACCTGTGTTGGGATCCTGCACCAGGCTCAGGACCACTCCAGGCTCTTCATTGATGTTGAAGCACAAGGTGTCCTCTTTTTGGGGTACGTGGATGATGAAGTGGGGGTCAGTGTCCACTGGGAGCACAGCATGGAGTTCATTAGATTGGGCATAGAGCTGATGGAGCCAGCCAGGGGCAAGGGTTCAAGCAGGCCGGGGTGTCCCTCAGACGCTCCCAAGGACTCACCACTGGTGACTACGGTTGGCAACGTTTGGTCAACAATGCTGGGGTCAGTTGGAGAAGGCTGCTGGTTGGCTGGCAGTACGAACGCTGCCCGGTGAGAGGAAATGGCATTGAGAAGGAAGGCAGCTGGACTTCCCTGGCGCTGCTGGCTTTTTTTTCAAGACCCTTCCCACCCCTGAGGCCACAGGAGCAGGAGTGGACACAGAGCCCTTGATGCCTCTCAGAAGGTGGGAAGAGAAGGTTGGCCTGGCATGGTGGGCTGACCCCCTCTGCCTCCTTCCATGGGGACCTGGAGGGGCTGGTGGCATAAGGGTGGGGGAGGCCTGGCCCACCACAGGGGTACTGTCTGAAGATTCACAGTGACAAGCAGTGAGGAGAGCTGGAGCAGAGGAAGGAAGCCTTGGGCTGTTGTTTCCTCATCAGGCAAACCCTGGGGGCTTTGCTCAGGACTGAATGCACAGCCCGAGAGACAGTAACATTTGGAGGAGAGAGGTACAGATGTGCATCCTCAAGATGGCTGCCACTTACTCCTTCTAGGTCCCAGCACCTCTGTAGAGGACAACAATAGAGGACAGTGTCACCCTTGCCCTCTCCCCGCCCAACATGAAAGGCATGTACACCTCATTCCCCAAGTGTGCCCAGGGCCCCGAGGCCAAACAGCTCTCCCCAGCGTCCCAGGCCTCCTCACTGATACACGCACACATGAGGGCCCCAGTGGAGACAGGTGGGGGTAAGGGAGTTCTGCTTGTGCAAGGGTCCTCGCACACACAGGAGGGAGCTGCTAGTCTGTGGTGAAGCGGGCAAGGGCATTTAGGGGAAGAGGAAACCATGACGGGCAGGAGGCAGGGGAGCTGTGGGGGTGGGGAGCTGTGTGCCCGGGTGCTGGGGCAAGTGCCACTTGCCCAGCCACCGCATGCCCCTCGAGAAAACTAATGATTTGAAAACTCACCCAAGGGCGGAGAATCTGGAAGGGAGAGAAAGGGAAGAGAATTAAAGCCCTGGAGGACTTTGGCCTTTAGAATCCTCCCCAAGACCCACAGTCTCCCCTTCTGCAGGGCCCATACCCTTGTCTGGCTTATCAATGATGGGCTCCACGCCGTCCTCGTCCTTCATGCCCCTCATGGTCATGGAGGTGAGTGGGGTCACAAACTGATACGCCATTGACATCTGCAGGATCTTGGCCGACAGTTTGGCTTCCTCCTCCCCCTCCAACCTCATCCTGTGAGACAGACAGCAGTTCCCAGCCCCGCAGCTTGGACAGTGGACCTGCACTCCCTCGTTCTTTCAGTCATTTGTTCACTCATTCACCAAACGCGTATTGAGCACCTGCAGTGTCCCCATTCAGTGGCTGTTCTTCAGGGACCTCATGACTTAAAGACCTCCTACATGGAAAACCTGGAGATTTGGCATGGTTGGGGGATGTGCCTCGGAAATACACAGAGAATTGAACAGCTATGAGGTTCTGTGCAAGTGGTCTCACCTCTCTGAGTCTCAGTGTGCTTGCTCATCGGTTACATGCGGATAATGAGGAAATTTCCCCTGCACGTTGTGAGGATTAAATGAGTGTCCGGACATGGCAGCCCCACAGTAAAGGGCAGCCTCCTCTGCAGCAGCTCAGTGGGGGCAAAGAGTGGGCTGCCCTGTACCCCAAGGGGCCCTGCTCACACTGTTGACTGGCTGGTTGATATTAACGCAGTGAGCGAAGCAGAAGGACAGTAAAACTGACCTGCTCACAACCTAAAGGCCCCGATCCACCCCTTCTCTGTTCACCTTGTCAGTGCAAAGGCCTAGGGGTAGAGGGTGCTCTGGGGTGAATGGTGCCCACCAGGCAGCCGCAGGCGTCCTACCTCTTGGCCAGCAGCTCCTGAATGGTGAGATAGGCCCAGAGGCGTTCAACGTGGTTCTCCAGCATGTGGCCCCGCTCTTGGAGCAGTTTCTTCATCTCTTCCTCATCGACTAGGCAGGTTATCTTGAAATCTCCGCTCTCCTGAGGGTTTTGATGGAGAGAGGCGGTGAGCTGCTAGGAATACACCTGCTGGCTGCTGGCTGAGGCTCCAAGGGGACCCACTCTTCCTTCTCAGCAAACACCCCTTTCCTAAGCCTGCTCTCCTCATTCCCAGTCATGCATTCTTTCCCCAAAAGCTTGCTAAGCATCCTCTGTGAGCCAAGCTGGCCTCGGCCCCAGGCATCCCAGGAACCCCTGACCCCCAACCAGGTCCTGCCCTCATGGAATTACTCTCTCTGAGGGATACCAACAAGCACCCAGTAGCTTCCACTAGTAGCTGTTTCCACCATGACCCTGCTCCTCCAAACAGCGACCCTGTCCCTGGTGGGCTGAACCATTCAACATGCCACAGTACAAATGGAATAATCCACATAATTTGCTTATGCAGTCGTGGTGCATGGGGCACCATTTCCTAAGGGTGTCCTATGCACCAGATACTGCGTAAACAAATTATGTGGATTATTCCATTTACTCCACACAATTCTCCAATGCAGTGTTACCCCTGTGGTATAGAAAAAGAACTGAGGCCTAGGGAGGCGGACCCATTTGCTCAAGGTCACCCAGCTGGTAATAGTGGAGCCAGGGTACAGCTTAGCTCTCCTCACTCTAAGCCTGAGTTCTGCACCCTCAACCACACTGCGGGGCTCAAGTCCACACTGAGCAGGGCAGGGGCCAGGTGTCACAATGTGCACATGCACACACGCACTGCACTGTGGCACAAAGCCAGGTGGACAGTAGGTATTCAGGAGATGTATCTCCAGAGAGAAGAGGCTGGCCTCTTTCTTTCTCAAGCCTTGAGACAATGATGTGAGGGGTAGCAGGTGGTCTGTTTTCGGCCAAAGGACTACAACTAATCAAGGCCACGTTGGCCCCATTCCAGCCTGGGATGCCTGTGTGGAGGAATATTTAGGCCTGGGTGTGTGTGTGTGACACAGTGTACTAATGGAGGCACTCTTCTAGGGAAAGAGAGGCCCCCTGGAGGAGGCAGGTTGGGGAACAGTGTGGGTTTGGAGCCTCTGGGTGCCACCCGGCTTCTGCATCATCCGAAGCCCACGATTTACCCCGTGGGCCTGCACGTCAGCCTTGAAGCTGCTCTGTTTGTTGTCAGCGATGCGCCCGGTCACCACGATCTCCGAGCCTGCGTAGTGCTGTTTATGGCTGTGCTGCGTGACTGCAGAGACAGTGTCCTTGGGGTATTGCAACTCCACATCCACCAGCAGGGGGTTGGCTATCCGGTCATAGAAACCCTGCAGGGGTGGGGGGTGCGGCCTCAGAACTGATAGGTCACCCGGGGCACCCAATGGGAAACCCACTCACAAAGTGGCGTGTAGAGATCCACACTTTACAGAAAGAATCATAGGCTCAGAAATATTAAGTAACTGGTTCAAGGTCATGTAGCTAATTCGAGCCCATGACAAAGTTTTATCTGCTCCTCTAGGCTGATGGGCAAACGGCTGTCAAGGCAGGACCCCTCATGGGCTGCTGGTGGTGGTGCACTGGGGGACAGGGTAGGGTGGGCGAGGAAGAGACCTGCAGCTGCTGGGTGGCGTCATGGTCCTCATAGATTCTCTGAGCCCGTCCATTGTTCTCCATGGACATGAGCTCCAGGAAGTTCAAGTTCACATCAGGGCCAAAGCCCAAGTTGTAGAGCGGGAACTTGCCCCCGATGGCGTTGCGGACGTTCTCCAGGATTTGGTAATGGTTCGTCACCCCTGCAGCCACATACCAGGCAGTGAATGGATACCAGCTCACAGGCAGTGAGCATGAGGATATTTTGAGGCACACTCCCTGGGAGTCAAGCCTCCCCTCTTAGTCCATCTCCAGTCCCCACCCACACCTTGAGGCGATACCTCCTGCTGGCTCACCTGGGTGACTGCAACTGTTGCTAACCTTCTCACAAACCTTGCTCGTCTATATGGGTTCACCACAAGCAGATCTGATTCTGCTCTAAAGCCTCCCATGGCTTCTTGCTGTGGTCTGGAAGACCTGCTGTCCTTTCTGCCCTTGCTTCACCTGCTCTGCACATGCCTGCAGTTCCTGGGCAGGCCCAGTGACACGCCTTTTTTTTTTTTTTTCCCTAAAGCTGCCCACTCTGTCTGGGAGCTCTTCCTGCTTCACCTCTCCTTCTTCCAGACTGAGCTCAGGGGTCACCTCCTCCAGGAAGCTTTCTGGGACCTCTCCTGGGCCAGGTGCCCCTTGTCCATGGTCCCGCAGCCTCCTGGAACTCTGTTCTTTCAGGACACCCAACAGAGCTTCTGCTCCTGGGTCTGCCTCTCCCATGGGCCCTGGGCTCCTTCAGGATAGAGACATGTCTTGTTCTATTGGTATCTCTTCTTGGTCCCTAGTCCTGTGCTTGGCACACAGACAGTGTTGAATACCTAGTTCATTAAACTCAGCCAAGAACCCTGTCCATCCTCCTAGGCCCTGTGCAATGTTGTGTCATGCAGAAACTTCCCCAATTTCCCAGCTCAGGACAGAAGTCTGCCTTGGAGCCCCTGAAGACTTTATAGTCTAAACTCTGTGTTTAGATCAGTGCTAGACTTTGTCCTGGACCTTTCTCCCCACTCCCCCAGTGGTAGGATTTCCAAGTGCAGTTTTAATGCCTTCAGTAATGAAGAGATCAGTGCCTTCCAAGGTGCTTACCCTCTGTGGGCTCGCCATCTGTCAACATGATGAGAATTGGGGCATGGTTGCTGACTCCTGGGACACTTTTCTGAGCTTTGTTCAAGATCTCAATTCCCTGGAGCAAACCTCCATTCATGTTTGTGGCTGCAGAGGAGAGAAGGAGACCCATGTATGCCTTCATTGTGAGAGGTCAGAAGCAGCACCAAGGTGGCCTGAGATGCCCGCCTTTACCCCCAGCCAGGGAGAAGCGCCGAATGAAGTCCTGAGCCGCTTGCACGTTGGCGGTGGATGCCTGCACCAGGGAGCCCCTCCACGATTGCACTTCAGACCCAAAGAGGACCAGGTCGAAGTTGTCCCCTGGCCGCATGTCCGCCAGGATTTTAAGGAGTGCCTCCTTGGTCTGTAAGGACACAACAGTCAGTGGAGGGACAGAGCCCCAGGACAGTACCTCCTGTCAGCTCCAGATACCCATTTCAGAGATCCACAGGGCAGAGGTACATGGTGGAGAAGCAGGACGGGCTGGCCAGCTGGTGCCAGGAGAGGAGTGTCCCCCAGGGCCCTAGGGGTTGCTGAGAGAGAGAGAGAAATCCCAAACCCAGACACTGGTGGCAACACCAACATGGTGTGGGTGATGGGGCTGAAAAGCTTCCATTAGGTGAACTGTTTAAAGGCACAGTTTACCTGCTTCACTTTCTGGCCTTCCATGGAGGTGCTGATGTCAATCACAAAAACCAGGTTCTTGTTTAAATTAGTCAACTTTTGGGGTGCAAAGAAGTGGGCAAAGTGGTTATTGGAGACCTGAAACGCAAAAGAATGGGTGAGGACTCTCATAAGCACCCCTACCCCCTTTGGATCTTGGGCCTGAAGCTTCTGGCTCACCAGGAGGTCACAGGGCTTTTCTCGATTGACGTCATAGGTCACCTTGAAGTCCCCATTCAGCAAGGTAGTGGAGCATGTGGGACACGATTGCTGATGGCCCACAGTGGGGCGGAAAAGGACATGACCCTGCAACCAGCAAGGATGTGAGGCATTACTGGTTTGTGCAGTTGCAAATAGGATGTTTGCAAAGACAACATCGTGTGTGTGTGTGTGTGTGTGTGTGTGTGTGTGTGTTTTGCACAGGCACAGAAATGAGTCAGGTGGGCCCCTCACTCAGCTACTGAGAGTACACACCTGTAGGTGGTAGGAGAGAAGACCTGTTTCTTTGCTTATCTGCTTCTGGATCATCGGGATTTTCTACAATAAGCCTCACCACTTTGAGTACAAAATGAAAACAAAATAATAGCCATATAAGAGCATCAGTCAACTTCAACTATGGAGAAAACAAGCAAGGCAACCACACTGTGCTGGAAACTAGAACCCATCTGGATGAAGAGCAGAGGCTGGAAGGAAAGACCCAGAGAGGGAGCGAAGTCTGGATGACTTGGTGTTGGTGCTCAGGGAAATGAGAAGTGGGTTTTACTCAGTGGTTTTCTGCACTTGTGTACTTTCCAGATGTTCCTCAAAGACTGTCTTAGTTTTTGTTTGTTTGTTTGTTTGTTTGTTTGTTATAAAAGTAAGATATGCTCATTACAAAAAAAAAACTGGAAAAGAATTACTAGGAAGACAAAGACCCATCCCCTTGGTCCGCTACTGAACGCAAGCATGTTTGCTAACACTCTGAGGTGTCATATTTTGTTTAAAAGGAACCCTTCCAAAACGGTAAGAAACATTTATTCTAAGTGAATTGTTATGGAGTCACTACCAAAGCTAGGTGAGCACTAAAGGGTTTGCTCCTAGCTGCAGTTCAGGTAAGTTAGGAAGCAGGGCACTAGCCGGGTATCACCCACCCACATGCCATACTCCTCCAGGGGCTGCGGAAGGAGCAAGCAGGGGGCGTCTGGGATTCCTGCACATGGGTGGCGAGTGACAGACAAGTGGCAATGGCTGGGTAGGTCAAAGGCCTTAGCAAACTCAATTATGTTTCCAAGAACACTGGCGCTTGGAATCCTAACTTCAACAGCATCTGACATTTGCTCATGTGCCCTGAATGCTTCCCTATAGGTGTGAGACAGGCAAGGAGGAAACTGAGGCTCCAGAAAGCCAGCACTCACCCCAGACCATGCAGCCAGTGTGAGCGCCTTCCCCGACTTTCACATGCAGGCATTTGCTAAGCCGCTCTGAGGACAGGAGTGCCAGATTGCCCTTGGATACCAACCATAAAACACCTGCCTCTCTTACCTGTAGGAAGCCTGCAGCCTCTGCCTGGTTCCCATGCCAAGCGTGGACCCTTAATGAAGGATGAGCCAGACTGAGAAGTCCCAGATGGCCTACCACCGCCCGGCCATGCCACACACCTGTTTGCCTGAGAAAGACTTCTTGATAAGTTGGGTCGCCAGTTCCTTGGAGAGGAAGGAAGTCTGCGCATCCAGCTTGCTGATCCCCTGGGGCTCAAAGATGTCCACGTCAATCTGCGTCATTGAAGCAATTCTTGCACCAAGGCTCACATTTGGACCATCATCAAGTCTCAGCCAAGAGCCAATACATGTCGTGGCCACCTACTGTGTGCACCACCCACCCAGCCCTCAGCAAAGGGCCTGGCAAGCTGTAGGCACTCCAAAAATATTGGCCAAATGAAGATACCCATCAACTTCACCACCACTAAGGTGCCAGAGACAACCATAGTCCTTTAGGCTGCCCAGCACTTTCTGGTTTACAAACTACCTGGACATTCAGCAGCTCTTGTAATTCTTGTGGCAGTCCTGGGACATGCAGGAACCCCCATTTAACAGAAGAGCAAGCTGAGGCTTAGAGAAGAGCAGGAGGCTCTCTGCCCACGGAGAGCCCATCGGAGCCCACCCTGAGGGGCAGTCCCTTCCCTGGGTGCTCAGGCCTGGGATGGCACATGATGGGCGCCGAGCCAATGCTTGAAGCCATAGCAAGAGAGAGGCAGGAGCCCTGCTCCTGAGAACACTCCCTGGGTGTGCGGTCACCTGCAATCTACCTCAAAATGATTCACCAGCTGCTTGGGCTTGACTTTGATGACAATGTTGTACTGTGTAAGTATTCGCTTCAGCACCTCCTCGTAGGTCAGCCGGAACGTGACCTTGCTCCGGGGACCGATGGTGAGGCGGATGGTGAATTGCTCCATCGTTCTTCCCGAGGCCCTGGACATGCCACCAGAGTCAACAACACAGACAAATGGTGACATGTGGTTTCTTGTCACCTAAAGCATGGCATTCAGAATCAATTTCTCTTATTTTAGTGCTGCTTCCAGGTGTCCTTAACCCTCACCCTGTCTTAGCCAGCTAGTCAGGGTCAAGGCCAAAGGACAGGCCCCACTTCTCCCGATGGCTGGTCTGGGAGACGGGCCAGTCAACACCAGCCTTGTCCAGTGCACCTGTGCTGGCATTTGGGTTTGGGCACTTTGCTCACTTCGCATTAGCCTGGAGCTGCTGTCCACCTAAGGCCACCTTGCAGTCCTCAGATGTATCCTGGCTGGGGAGGGCAGCCTCAGAGACTGGGCTAGTAGGGCTCAGAACTCACCTGACAAGGCCAGCATTCTCTCCTAAGATGGCTGCTTTCCGGTACTGTTTCCACGCAGTCACTTTGTCCTTTATGTTCCCGATGAATGCTTTTCCATTTGCAGTGCTGCGGTGGAGAAGAAGCACTCAGGGGAAGTTCCCCTCCCTGACCACACAGGTCCTTCATACTAACGGTGCTCCCAGCCCAGACCCTACACAGGCCCAGTCCAGGTAGGCACTTGTGAGACGGTGTCCCTGTGGACCTCCCACTGCCCACAGAGTTGCTCAGAGGTCCCTGGCAGTGAGGTGGGCAGCCACAGCCCCAGTCCAGCAAGAAGCCTCAGACACAGGCCTTTGCTCCTTGGACGCTGGCTGAAAACGTAGTCAGAGGCCCGTTTGCTCTCCACAACGGGAGTTCAGAACACAGCTAAAGAACTGTTTCTCCCTTCATAGCTGAAATAGCCTGTGGCCCTTTAAGAAATGAGGAGATGGTCTGCACTGCCTGGCCACTCTGAGCTGTGGTCTTGGGCTGGGCCTGGTTAATGGACAGTTCTGGGTGTGGGAGTCAGGTAGGACACACACATGGCAAAGTCGGTGATGAAAGCCGTCTTGGGGATCTCCACATCAAAGGCCACTTCCTTGGCTGTTTCAGCACTGTTGACCACTTGGCTGGTGATGACATAGTGGGCAAAGCGAGAGGTGACCTTGCAGTTGACTTTCAAACTCTGGATGATCACACCATCGACAGCCTGAAGTGAGATGTGAGGGTGCTGTGGCCTGGGGCGTCTGAGCCACTGAGACACCGTATGTCATATTGGGGCTCAGCACCCAGTTCGGACTGGCACACGGTGCCTGAGGAACAGACCAGAGCTCCCAGGGAGACCCATTCATTCTCTCTGCCTGAGTCCGTGCAGTCAGGGTGGGAGAGCACCCATTTCCAGGACATGGCAGTCCCTCTGCCCAGGGCATTAACAGGGGGCACACTCCCAGAGGACCGGAAAAACAAGGCTGTAATAATAGCCCCACCACAGACTCCTCTACAGAGACTCTTACTTACTGTGTCCACAGCCTGTCGCTTCTGTAAAACAAACCAGGGTCAATGTGAGTGTGAAGGCTCAGGGACCACGGACTATTAGTTAAGGGGTGGGAATGGGATGCAGCCTGTACCTTCTTCCCCTTGGCCTCACCTCTCCAGTCAGAGCTGGTCAAGGTGAGTGGGGTGAGGGTCTTGTGTCTCCCCAAGGCCCCGTCCAGGCCCAGCTGTTTGTTTCTGCCCTGGGGGTTTACCCACATACCTCGCTGCTTTTGAGCCTTTTGGGTAAGCCCGGGGCAGTCATAGCCTGTAGAGTGAGGAGGGACACCAGAGTCACACACAGCAGCACCCGAAGCCCCATGGCACTGTCCATGGTCTCAAGGCTCCCGCTACCTTGTCACTTAACTCAGACCTTTAATCAATAAAGTGTTGGATAAACACTGATTAAACATTAGACAAGATGAAGGTAAATATTACGATTTGGGGAATCAAAAATTGACAGTGAAAGCTTTAACCCTGGGGGACATTCCCAGGTATGTAAACTCCTGACCAGAATCAGACTGTGCCCCTCTGTCTAGAACTGCACTCAAGCAAAGTGAATTGTGAGGACCCCAGCTGCTCATGTAATCCTTGGTCTGGCACAGGGTGATACCAGTGATATGGTGACATATGTCAACAAGCCACAGTTAAAAATGGATTTATAAACTCTGTTCAGTGTTACTTTCAAAACTCTTTAAGTATCAACACACTTTTCGAAAGCAACACTTTGGCCAGGGAGGAAGATAATGTGGCTTAGAAAGTGTCTGCCTATGATCCGTTTATGGCATAGTTCTGCCAGAGGCAGTCTAGGCAATCCTGGGGATATGTAATGAGTGACCCAATCTTTGGGACAGTTGCTTCATCTCTCTGGACCTTGGAAAAAAGAACAGAAGTAGCCGCATCAGTTTTCCACCTGGGCAGAGATGCCTGGCAGGTAAAGGGGAGACGAAGACAAAGGCCACCTTTTCATAATGGAGAGCTGGTTATGTGCCATGCATTGCTGTAATCTCTTTATTGTCTAATTTTATACTTATGGTATCTCTAGATGTTCCTGGGATGGCAGCCTCTGAGCCTGTGAAAGACTTCTGTGTCATACTGGGGCTCAGCACCTAGCTCTGATTCAAGGGGCCAGCATATAACAGAGCAGGTTTTCAAACCCAGATCTTTCAGACTCCAAAGCCCAAGCCTATCACATAGGGACAGAAATGACCTCTGCATTATTAGGAGGAAGAAAGGAGAAGCAGAGTCAAAGACACAAGAGACCCCTCTTGTACCTGCAATTTCTAACTTTCATGCCCAAATCCTCCCTGTTCCCTACAACCCACAGCACACTGGGCAGACATGGTCCCTGGCCAATCCACTCCATGGCCCTGGGTACAATGTACTGTTGTGACCCTGATACGCTGAGGGGGCCCAGAAGCTTCTTTGATCTGTTTGCTTGTCCTGGACTTTGTCTCACAGAGAAGTTCTGGGAAAGAGTTTATTGTCCCCAGGGCAGAATGCCCTCCTGACCTGTTTTCTGGCCTTTGTGAATGATGAGTTGGATCAACATGAAACCGCGCATTGCAGGTTCTACACCAGTGTAGACAAAGCCCTGTGGTGGGTTGGGCACAGTGCCAGGCACTGGGACACCACAATGATGAACTTGAATGCCCCACTGTGTTCAGTGAGCTGGCACCTTGGGGAAAAGGAGTCAGACAAGTCAAAGGAAGTACAGTGAATCCCAGGAGTGGTCAGAAGCTAAAGAGGAACATAAAGGAGTTGTAGAGATCTGGAGGGATAGAGCTCATCTCCCACAGGACTTAGGAGAAGGCTCCTGGAGAAGGGGCCTGGGAAACAAAGCAGCACTCAGGAAGGGGTAGGTGGGAAGGGGAGAGAGAGAAAAGCATGCTTGGGGAAGGTGCGGGTGTCTGTGGATGAGAGCAGAAACTGATGGAGAGGGTGGAGGAGGAGGGTGGGAAGTGGCTTGAGACCAACGAGTGCAGGATTCTGAAAGTGGCCACTCTTTTGGGTGGGAAATGCTCTTCGAGCAGGGGTGTGGCAATACCAATACTGTGCTGTTGGGTGATGGCTAGCCTGGACGTTTCATGCACCAAGCCTGGTCCACATAAGGTGCTGGAAACATGTTTGTGTGGCCTGGGAAGGAGAGAGAGTATGGAGCAAGCCAACAGTGACTAGTGCCTAGCCCACTTCTCAGCATCTTTTGTGTCTGAGTTCATTTATTGCTCACAACTACCCTCAAGAGATGGATACTGTTATTGTTCCCAAGTTAGAGGACAGGTAGACTCACCCTGTGGATGCGGTAGGTGAGGAGAAGGGTCGACAGAAAGCAGCTGAGGTTGCTGACGATTGAACCTGGGGGCCTGAGTGGGTGGCTGTGCTGCTGGTGCAACAGGACAGCACATAGGCCCAGACCTGCTCTCAGCTCCCCACACATGGCCAACTGCCTACTTGATTATCAGAGCCCCTCAATCTGACATGTCCAAACTCAATTCATGACCTTTCTCTCACCCTCCTACATCCCATGACCAGGACTGGTCCTTCCCCTCGTGTTGTCTACCCCTCTGAAGGCCACCACCATCCATCCAGGATCCAAGCCAGAAAGCTAAGTGGCATCCTGGATGCCTCCTTACCCTAGACCACCTACCCCTATCCCCACCTCCAACCCTCAAAATATCTTTCGAATCCATGTATTTCTTTGCAAATCCCCAGTAACCACTGAGTCTAAGCCACCTTCATCTCTTACCTGGATGGCTGCTTCCCCTACTTCCACTCTATTCCCACAGTCTGTTCTCTGGCAGCAATCAGACTCATCATTTAAATAGGCAGATGTGCTGTAGGCCTTTCCCTGTCTAACACACTTCCAGGTCCTAAGTTGTCTGTCTCCTGCTGACCCCGCCATCTCATCCAGCCATGACCCATCTAGGTCTCTCAGCTTCAACCATAGAGACCTTTTCCAGATCCATGGAGGTGGGTACTTTCCCACTCTTTCATTTATCAACCCCATCCATTCACACCTGCTGGGTGCCAGCCCCATTCCAACTGCCAATTTCGGGGTGTTAAAGTAGGCAGGCCTAGCTCAGGGTGCTCAGGGAGTTCACACTGAGGTGTGCAGGTGGAGTCACAAAACAAGTTCATTGGGCCTTAGCACATGGGGCTCCTTCTGCCTGAAAAGGTTTTCCTACTTAAGCCCAAGCAATGACTGCTTGGAGCAACCACCCCCCGATGGCTAGGCTGTGCCCAGTGACCTTTCTGCACAGCATTGACCTCAGTTAGCAGGGAGAATTTGTTAGTATGCTTCATTGATTAATGGCCGGCTCCCTCTTTGACTGTAAGCCCCACAGGGCCAGAACTTTGTGTTGTTCACTTTGTGCTTCCAGGGTGGGGCACCAGACAGGCCCACACGAAATGTCTGTAGAGTGAATGATAGATGTGACAAAGAGCAAGTTGGGGGAGGTAAACAGCAGAGGGCAGAGCACAGAACCTTGGGAAGCCTCAAACCTGAGGGGAGCATGAGGAGTCAAAAGAAAGCAGGAATGGACAGGAGAACCAAGAAAGTTCTAGAAGCCAAGAAATAAGAGGGGTCCCCAGAGGAGCAAAGCCTGCTGAGAGGAAGAGGGGTGGATGAAGGATGAGAAAAGCATGTAGGGAATCTGAGTCATTTTCCAAGAAGTTTCTTGGGGGCAGGTGGGACCAAGTGACTACAGGGAGGTTCATGAGTGAGCAAGCCCTAAGTCTTCTAGAATATTGTTTTGAGTTTCTCAACTTTCCAGAGACTTGTTTCCTTGCTGTAAAATAAAGATGATAATAGTACCAGCCTCACAGGGTTGATGGAGGGATTAAATAAATGAATGTACTTGATTCTGGGAGGGGGTTGGGGATTGACTGAGAAGGGGCATGAATTCACTTTCCAGGGTAATAGTATACTCCATATTATGCATTCTCAGCAGGGGCGATATTGCCCCCAACTGGGCAAAATTTTTTCTTGGATGTGGGCAAAAGAAATCTTACATTTCAAAGGGATGAATTTCAGGTCCTTGAGAGACACTCCTGGGTTGTAGAAGATATGTATCTATCTCCTCAAAAGGACACAGAAAGGTTTTACAGTTTAAGGGGTTTTCTTTTTTA